GTCATTGCAGAAATAGAGGATAAATGCACATTTGAGTTTAAAAAGCTGAGATCCAGATGAAAGACACAAAAGTTTGGAAAAACACAGGATCCTGTAGAGGCAGCCCCTCCCCCTCTATTACCTTCCCGACACTCCAGTTACCTTCTGAGACTAGACAACGCTGCAGGATGTGTGAGAGAGAGGAGCGGAACTGGAGGGAACCAACACTGGTGGGCCCCTGAGATGGTTCTGCAACCTGGTCCTCAACCCCAGGCCCAATTTGGATTGGAGAGGGATTGGAGAGTCAGGAGGACTTATGCCTTCCTTCCTGGTGACATGGCTGGTGGAGTTCCTGCCTCCAGCCTGGGCTGGCAGCAAAAAAGCAGAACTGGGTGTGTGCTCTGCCTGGGTATGCTCTGCTCAAGGTGCCTGAGAGCACTTTTCAGAGTTTCTTGGGGTCCCAGAGTAGCCAGATTTTCCAATGTGCTTAAGAGGGTTGTGGGCAGAGCTGAAAGTGAGGGAAGCCCTGAGATCAGGAAGAAGATTATGCTAGAGGCACCTGTGTAGATCCGTAGTCAGGGGCAGCACAAGGTCATAGATATCTTAGCAGATGCCTGCATGGACCAATGTCACAAAGACACCTAGATACTACTGGTGATGGAGAGGGTGAGGGGACCCTGATTTGACTGAGGAGATCCTGAATTGACTAAGATTAAGTCCATGGAAAGAGCGCTTAAAGTAGAAATTACGTTAAATTACGGACAAAACTTAAAATGTAATACGTTGAGCACACCTGGAATGGTGGCTTGAGAGGTGCATTGTTTTTTCTTCATCACGTCACCCAATTTCTCCAAGACACCACTTCTCCATCTATAAACTGGGTTGAGGAGGAGGGTTTGGACTAGGTGGTAGCTCAGAGTGACCATGATGTTAAAGTCTCAGAATCCCTCAGATGTTTTGCTGCCCACCTGTGGAAGTTTTCCCTATAAGACACTTTCTTGGCAGTCCTTGCCCAGTCTCCAGTGAGATTGCTGAGAATCATCAGGATAGCTCAGGGTGACAGGGGACAAGAGGGACATTCCCATCTTCTGCAGGGATCATGTGAAAATGCAAAAGAAAAATATAGCTACAATCGTGCCATCATGACAAATGGAAACATTTTGTCTTTCTGCTTCTCCTTCCAATCCATGCCTGCCTAAGTACCACTTCTGTACCAGAGCCTGGAGACTGCGTTGTATCCAAGGGCTTTTGGGAAGCAACGAAGATGGAAAAGGAACATATGGCTATTTTAGTTCTGCTGCTTGGCTTCCCTGGTAACCAGCTTTACAGACCCAGTGACTCTAAAATTCCCTCTCCAGCTCCGACCCCTCTCCTGAACTCCAGATGTGTATGTCCATCTGCCTTCTCAACATCTGCACTTGGAGGATGAACAATCATTCTCTTTATGTGTTGGAAATTGAACCCTTAGTTCCCACCACCAAACTGTTTTTCCACCTGTCTTCCCCATCTCATCCATTGCTCAGCCTAGCCAGGAAGCCAACCCCAATTCCTCCCCCTTCATTATTTTCACATTCAGGCCCCAAACAAGTCCCCTCATTTCTACCCATAAATACACCTCCCATTAGTCAATGTCTCTCCCTCTTTGCTGGCACTGCCGTAGCTCAAGGCATCCTGATGCCCCCTGGTTTGCTGCAGTAACCTCACATCTGAATTTTCTGATTACTTGCTTGCCTCTACTCTGCTTACCCCACAGGAGCCGTGGTGATTTCTAAAAATGTAAATCAGATCTTCTCATTTACTCTGTGGATTCAAACTCTCTAATGTCTTTCCGTTTTTCTCTGAATAAAATCTCTACTCCCTACAATGGCCGTTAGCGCTGTGTGATTTGGCTTCTGCCCACCTCTTCAGCATTGTTCCATGTCCCATCACTCTCAAATTCCAGCCCCACTGGCCCCCTTCCTCTTTCTTGAACATTCCAAATCCCTTCATACTTAAGATCTTGGCACAGTGGGTTCCCTGTAACAAGAGTGTATTTCCCCAGGGTCCTGTGACATTCAGATGTCAGCTCAACTATTTCCTTTTCAGAATGGCTTTCTGTACTATTCTTCCTAGGTAGCAGCCACTTAATTCCTGATCCCTGTGGAGATCTCTGTTATTGCAACTTGCGTTATTTTGTGCACCTTTTTATTTTCTTCAGGACACTCATCACATTTTTCTTTCTTCTTATCTCTCTCTCTCCTTCCATCTCTTTCTCCATGCATTCTTTCCTACGTGTGCTCAACAGACTGTAAACTCCACAAGGGTAGTGACCATCTGTACCAACATTCACTAATGCTTTCTCCGTGTCTAACACAGTGCGTTTTACATATTCTAAGCTCACTAATTTTTGTGGTATAGGGACACCATAACCTCCTTTGCAATGATCAATTATTTGTGTGGAAGCTCTGGACTGGGCTTGCTTTGGACATGAGCTATTTCCTTTAACGGATGAAGAATCTTCCTGTACAAGATGGGACTCTTCTGGCTGCTTCATTTTTCCTCTGGTTTCAAGGTCTAGGACACCTGGGACATTCCCCATCACCTTCTCGAGGTATGACTTAGGGGATGAGGAACTATCTAAACTTTTTGAGCAAATGTTTAAAAAAAACCATTCTGATGTCTGTGAAGTGTATGGTTTGGAGACTCCAGAGCGAGACTTGTGAGGAGGATATTGGAGTGATCTGGGGAAGTGCCACTGAGGTTCTGAACAACCATAAAGCTGAATGGGAGGGAACAGAATTCATGGGACTTGAGACCTAGGGCATCTAGGACTCAAAATGTGAGGTGGCAAGTTTGTATGAGTGCCGACACTGTCCTTGCTCAACCCTGAGAAGGGGTCTCTTTAACTTTTGCTCACTGGACACTTTGCTTGCCTCGTCGTAGTCCTGGCCCTGCTTCCAGTGGGAGGTGATGGGGAAAGAGGCCAGGACATCCCCAAGACACCAAGTATTGGAGGCTGAGTTTGGATATGTTGAAGCTGAAGGTGCTCTTTTGTGAGTAGAAGGTGTTGAAGAGGAGATTCATGTCTGAGGGGCAATGGAGGTGGGCTCTGGCCCTCCATCTCTGTGACTACAGCAGTTCAAGGCCACAGTGAATCAAATACAGTAGGATGTCTATTTCCCTGGGCATATTTATCCTTTTACAGAGAGCCTTTCTCCAGAACTTGGTATACAGTGCCTCCCCCAGATCTTCACCAGGGCCATTTTGTGGCTCAGGACTAACCCTGAATCTATTACAGAACCACCTTTCAAACCTGGAAAAGTGCACATGTTCTTCCCTTCTCCTCCTCACTCAGAGGCATGGAGTAGGCTTTGGTGTAGAAGAGCGGGCCTGAGAGATCAGGAAGCAGTAGAATGAGGATGGGTCAAGATCTCCCCATATGTCTCTAGAACCACAGACAGTGAGGCTCCTTGGAAAACACTGAGCAGAGTTGGGTTTGAATCTGGGTTGTTTTTTTCTACCCCCTGTTATCTGACTAACACTGAATAGGTTCCGTCAGATCCCTCACCTGCAAATTCAGGAACAGTGCCCACCTTGTGTGCTTGATATAAGGATGAAATAAGATACTGCATGTGAAGTGCCAGACCCATGGTGCACCCATTAACTATGTTTTCCTCCTTATGTGGAATCATTGATTGTCATAATGGGAACGGAACTTGGGGCTCTCTAAGTAATGTTCTTCCATTTATTTTTTTCCTTTGGATCTTAAGCACATAGAATTGTACCTATCATAAATCTTGCTTCATGAAACCCTCATCATTGATCCATACATGACCCTCTTTTATTAATCTACTTATCTGTCCATCCATCCATCCATCCATCCATCCATCCATCCATCCATCCATCCCTCCATCCTCCCTCTCCACTTTTTCTTCCCTACCTTTCCCCATTTCTCCCTTCTAATCTTCCATCCATCTCTCTACCTACCTACTTACATATTTATTTATCAATCTTATATTGTTATTCTATTTATTTTTTTGTTTATAATGGTATAAATATTCATGAAGCCACTACCCAGCAATGAAGCTAGAATCTCGATATGAACTTCCATCTACCTATATATATCCACCTTTTTCATCCCTCTCCCTCCTCCTAGCTCAGGCAAATATTATTTCAAATCTTGGGTTCATTGATCCTTTTTGAAAAAATATGGTTTTATCATATATATATATTTTCTCAAAGGCCACTTGTTAGCTGTTTTTAATTTTATAAAAGAATATCATGCTGCATGAAATCCTTTGAAGCTTACTCACCCCTGATATTTTTTTGCTCAGATTTATGCATATTATTGTGAGTAGCTGTAGTTCATTGATTTTTACTGCTGTGTAACATTCCTTCCTGTGATTGTACTAAATTATTTGCCCATCATCCTGTAGATGGACATTTGGATTGTTCTCAGGTTTTGCTAATTTCAAACCATGCTACCATGTATGTATCTCCTGTGCACATGTGCAAGAGTTTCTTTGAGTATAACTCAAGAGTGGAAATGCCAGGTTATGGTGTATGTGAATGTTCAACTTAAAATTTTCCAGACTGTTTTCCAAAGTGGCTGTACCCCTTTACATGCCCATCAGCAGCATAAGAAAGAGCCAATTGCTTCTTCATTTTTGCTATTTGATTAGGGACAAAATGACATCTCAGTGTGGTTGGCTTTGGCTTTTCTTGATGACTAATGAGACTGGACATCCCTTCATATGTTTATTGGCCGCAAGTGTTTGCTTTAACCCCACCCACAATGGGCTTTCCTTGAGGAGCCAGGAAGGGGCTTTCAGAACTGCAGGTATGAGTCTCCCCCTGGGCAGGAGCCTGTCCTGCCTCTGCTGGTTTCTTGCTCAGGATCATGGACTTTGTGCCCTGAATCTTGAGAGAAGCTTCTTCCTGCATAGGATGTGAAGCCCACCTCTCACTACTGATATGCCCAGTCCAGGCTGTCACCCACTCTGGGGGCTGCAGGAGACAGGGAGGGGCAGGCACACTGGACAGGTCTCAGAGGGCGGATGAGGCGGGAGAAGCTGCGGTAGCAGCTGCAGGCATCACGGCAAGTGTCCCTCCTGGGTCAGTCCTCCTGAAAAAGACAGGAGGGGATTGAGGGTCCTGTGTCACTGAGGAGGGCCTTGCAGTGGCTGTGACCTGCAGAGGAAGCAGGGAGCTGGGGTAAAGCCTTGTTTTTCTCAGACCTCTCCTCAGAGACCACCTCAAGAGTGCTCTCTCTGCACTAGCTTCCTCTCTGTCTCCCTCCTTAAATGCTCCCCCTGCCTGGACCAGGGAGCCTGCATCTTTGTGGATCCTCAGACTGGAGCTGTGAGAGAAAGAGGGGAAGGGTAAAGGTTTTGGGTGGCAACTCTCAGGAACCCTCTGGATTCAACATGCCTTCAGGTAGAGATGAAATTGGAGCACCTTGTTGCTTCTCTCTACAGTGCCCCCTGCTGGCCTGGAGTCCTACCCTTGGGAGCCCAACCCCTACCTGGGGTCCCCCTTACCTGGAAGGGAGGCTCCTCCTGAGGACGTAGATGATGGAAAGTGCAATCAGGGGAATCAGCTTCCAGCCAAGCAGGAGGAGGGTCCCAAAGAGGGAGCTGGATGCTATGGCACCTGTGACAGCAGATATCAGGATGACCTTGGCTTCCTGCTTCCATCACTAAACCCCCAGGCGGACTCAGCCCCACCCTAGACTCAGGTACCAAGACACACCTTGGTCTTGGAGAGAGTCACCTAACCTTTGAGAACCTCATTTTCCTAACCTCGAAAAGGCAAATTATAACCTATACTTTATAATATTTTTGTATCAAATGGAAGCATCCAAGGAAAGTTCCTATAGGTGCTCAGGAATTGAATCTGAATGGCTTTTGGGAGGATGGGTGAGACTTGGGGCAAGATCTTTCATATTATCTTAGTAATTCACAGCACTATCTGGTAAACAGTGTGTCGTTAGGATGCAGCTGTGTGATGAGAACAATGCTTCCTGCTATCACACTCTGAAAAGGTTGCTATAATTGCCATCCCATTTTATAGGTGAAGAAACTGAGTTTCAGAAAGGTGAAGTGACTTTCCCAAGGTCACACATGAGGAACGTGCAGAGCCAGCATTTGAACCCGGCCTGTGTGTCTCCAGGTCCGAGCCTTGACTTGCTTGGTTTTCCAGCCCTACTCACCCCAACTCGCTTGCTTTTCTCTAAACTCGTTCAGCTGCACGCTGGCCTGGACCCATGTCTGAGCCTCACGCCCCACTTGGCAGGTGAACAGCCCTTTGTCCTCTGAGGCGTTGACCAGGAGATGACTGTCTTGGCTGAATGTACCATCTGGGTTCTTGGTGGGGGTGACAGCCTCACAGGTCTGGAAACATCCGTTCTTCTGCATCCAGGTGATTTGTATGCCTTCGGGGTAAAACCTTTGCACATGGCAGGCGAGGATGGCCGCCTGGAGACTTGGGACACGGTGTATCGATACATTCACTGTGGGCACAACTGAAACAACAGCCCTTCCTTTGTTACTTTCTCCCTTCATGTAGAAGATGCTCAAGGAGCATCCTCGCATTTCTGGGCATTGCACTTGGTTCTCGGGATACTGCAGTGAGCAAGACGGACACGGACCCTGCCTCATGGAGCTGCCGCTCTGGTGTGGTGGACAGGGAGGAGAAGAGCACTCACATCACCCCATAGAGATTCTGAGAGCTTACACAGCGGCAGCTGATCTGGTCTGCAGGTACGGCAGGTTAGGGAAGAGTTTCTGAAAGAAGTAACCTTTGAGCAGAAATACGAAAGATGAACAGGAATTAACTACGTGTGGCAGATTGTATTTTCCAAAAATGGCCACAGCAAGCCCCACAATGTCTTCCAGAACCTTGCCACTCCCAAACAGAAAGGGAGTCTACTTTGCTTCCCTGGAATCTGAGTGGGACTTGTGACTGCCTGATGAATAGAGTGTAGCAGAGGTGACACTGTGTGGCTTCCGAGGCTGGGTTATAAAAGTGGAGTGGCTTCCACTTCGTACTCTTGAGACACTCACCTTTGGAACCCAGCCACCAAGCTATGAGGAAGCCCAAACTAGCCCATGTGGAAAGACGATAAGGAGACACCCATGTCGAGAAGAACCGAGGTCCCAAGCTGACAGCCAGCACCAATGGCCAGACATGTTAGTGAAGGAGGCTTCAGATGATTCCAGCCTGTGAATCATCCAGCTGAGGTCCCAGAGTCATGGAGCAGAGACAAGCCATCCCTGCTGGCCCTGTTCAAATTCCAGACCTGTAGAATATGTGAGGATAATAATTTTGGGGATTTGGAGTAAGTTTAGAATATTGGAATAGGTTTGGGGATAATTTTTTATGCAGTCTTGGTAACTGGAACATGAGGCAAGGGGGCTAGGGGAGGGTAAAAGGAGGGAGGGCACTGGGAGAGACGGGGTGTGTGGAAGTGCATCTCAGGCAGAAGGAAGGGCCTGGGCAGAGACCCTGAGGTGGAGCCTAGAATGTTCCAAGGACAGAAAGATGACCAAAGTGAGTGAGGGGGAGCATGGACGAGATGAAGTCACATTCGCAGCCAGTTTGCAGTCTGTCTACACTTACTGGTGCTGCACTTTCCCCTGGGGGGACATAAGGACATCCTAGGGAGACGTATATTGACAGTTTAATACAATTAATTTCCAGATGCCAAACCCTCATATGACTCTTTCCTGAAATTGATCTGCTTGAGAATGAGCACTAAGGTTGGTTCCCTCTCCTGCTTGCTGTTCCTCAATTCTTCTTCTCCCTTGTTACAAAAGAAAGGCCTTCCTGCACACATCCTGAATCTAGCTATGGTGCGTTGCCCTTGGTGTAAAGACTTTGGGGCAAAAGATAAAATGACAGTTCAACATACTACTGGCCAGAAAGCCGCCTTTACTCAAAGCATCATAAGCCACCCCATCTATCTCATTGCACTTCTGTTAACATTTTAATGATAATGTTAATAATGATTTGTCAAAATTTGTCATATATTTAGATTGTTTTGATCAATTGTGTAATTCAATCCAGAAGTATTTTTTTTTAACACTTAGAGCCTTATGGTCATAAGACAAAACTTTAAGAAATTCACTTTATATGTATATATTTTTTGTTCTAGTTCTCTGTGTGCTCCCAGTCCTCTATGATATATATGCATGTTGTGGTTAGTAAAAGACTTTCAAATAGAAAGTATGCTACACTGGGATAAAGTTCTCCCTGGAATAAGAATAGCAATACAAATTTAGGAAGAAAATGGAATGATATAAAATTTCTAATTTATAAAGTAGCGCTTGTTTATGTATGTTGAAATGGATGATTGTGGAAATCAAATCAGTATGATGTTATTTTTCAATTGAGTATGTTCAGAATGATGTAACATTTGTAATATCCCAGGAGTTCTGTCTTATGCAACTGTTTAAGCATATGATGAACAATTTTAGATGCTACCTTTAAAATATATGATGGGCCATACAGTTCTTCACAATTATTTTAGGGGTAAATGAACAAAAATGGGTGAAGATCCCTGTTGAACATTCTGGTAAGGACTTTTTTTCCTTTTTGTAAGAGCAGTGGTGAGACACTGAAGGGTTTTAAACAAAGGAGGGACATGACCTGGCTTCCTTGATAAAATGCCCTTGGCTGCTGCGGGGTTGGGGGATGGACTGTGGAGGGTCATGCTGGATATGAGAGAGAGGGCTGTTACATCCAGGAGAGAGATGATGTTGGCTTGACCTTGGATATTAATCCTGGTAGTGGCAGTAGAAATGTATGGATTGAGAAAAGATTTTGGAAGGAAATTTGATAGAACTTGGCGATGAATTGGGTAAGAAATGGTATCTAGCTTGACTGACTGGGTTGATGGAGAGTCTCTTCATTGATATGGGGAAGGAGGAGGAGCCAAGGGTTTGGAGAAAGTGGGGAGAGCAGCACCTTGCCCATCTCTAGGCTGACCATGACTGAACCATGTCTCTTGGGGACGGGGGCCCTGCTCTTCTCTGGTATCTCTGCATGGGGAGTTCTTATAGGAGGGAGGTCAGAAATGGTCATCTGAAGAGGTGTTTTATTGGAATCAAATCCCAGCTCACTAATTTAAGAGCCATGTGACCTTGGACAAGTCACTTTTCTTTCTGGGTCTTGATTTCCTCATCTGCATGAAGCAGGGACTCGCAGCTTCTATGGGATGCTCGAGGTAGAGGCTAGAATTCCATTTCCAGGCTGGAGCTCTCTTGTGGTGTCTTTAGGTTAAGCAAAGGCCGACTCCTACTTTGGTTTGGAGGCATTTGATTAAGGAGGAGCTAAACTCTTCTTTACAATGATACCACATATTGTCCGCAATGGGAAGGGGGGATTACTGTGGACACTATGATGGTATTAATGGATGCTCTTTGGTTTTCTCTGGCAGGAGCTGGAGAGAATGTGAGTTGGGGCTCTGGACCCCTGGAAGGAATTTACCCATCTGCAGGAGTGGGATTCTGCTATGCTGAGGTTGTTGAGTGGGGGTGCTGTGGCTAAGAAGAGTGTAGATCCCTTGGGAAATGCCTTGTGAAGGCCTGGGCGGGTGCACTTCCCCAGGAGTGAGGTTGATTTCCTTTGCCTGTCCTTCCGTATTTCTGCAAAGTCTGATTCAACACCATAGCCAAGGGCTTTGGCTTTATGAAGTCAGAGCAAGAAAGGTGGAGGCTTGGCCTTGCCTGCATTTTTCCCTCCCCTGATGCCAGGGCGGGTTTAAGAAGCTTGTTTTAAAGGCATTGACTGGCAGCAGAGCAGTGGTGGCATGGTGGTTTGGACAATGTTGTTAGGAGTCCATGTGGAGAATCCAAGTGGGAGAAATGTCCTTGCTGTGGCCTGGAAGGCCTGTGTGATCTGGTCCCTGCTTCTTTCTCTCCAGCCTCTTCCTTTTCTATGCATCCTTCTTCTCACTAACCCACTTGAGCCTCATCCCTGCTCCTCAAACAGGGCTTGCTCTCCACCACTCCCGTCCTCTGCCTACAACACTCTACTTTTTGCCCATCTGACTCCTTTTCATCATTCATGTCTTGGCTCAAACATCACTTCTTCAAAGAGGCATTTCTTGAATAAACTAGATTTCTCCTGTTTTCATCTATTCATTCAGTACTCTGTTCTTTTCCCTCATAGCCAGTGTTAGAAGTCATAACTGTATAAATGTTTGCATCTTGGTTGATGGGGTACACATGACTTTGAACTCAGTGAGGCAGAACCACATGTGTTCTGTTTATCGTGGAATCCTCAAAGCTAGAATAAAGCTGCCACACAGCATATGCTCAGTAAACACTTGCTGAGTGAATGATTGAACTTCAACCTCCCAAATACACTAGAGGGAAGGGAACTCTAGAGAAGGACCCAATCACGGCATTATGTGGGCAGGGGATGGTTGTATAAGATAGAGAACCTCATACCCACTTCATGTAGGGTTTAGTGAAGAGTGAATAGGAAGACGGAGTGGAAGTGCTCCAAACAAGAACCTGTGGTGGTCACCTAGGGTTGGCCATCTGGGTGGGTGATGGGGATGCTTACCGTGGAGGAATTTGGAGATGTTCACATGGCTACTGAGGGGGCTCTGCAATTCACTGTGAGCCACTTGGCAGGTGACCTGGGAGTGGAGTGAGGAGAGGGCAAGAGTCACCAGGGTGGTGCTGATGATGGTGTAGGAGAAAGCGTCTCCAGGTGGGAAGATGTCAGTCTGACGGGCTGGAAGCTCCACTCCATTTTCAAACCATTTCAGATATATATTTTTGGGAAAGAAGCCAGTTGATGTGCAGGTTAGATTCACTTCATCTCCTGGGCTGGCCCTGTTTGAGGGACCAGAGACCTCTGGAAGAGAGGGCTTAGCTTTGATCATGCAAGGAGGAGAGAGACATGAGAGAAATGAAGATGGTAAGTTACTCTGTAGTACAATACCTGCCCTTATGGTTCATCCAGCTAGACTTATCACCCCAGTCTCTCATCTCCACTTTTCTCCTTTTCATAATTTTTAAATGATGCTTCTTATGATAACAGCTTGCCAACTGGCCTGACTGACTTTGCTACTCAACCCTTCCAACCTGCACTCAGAAACCAGACCACGGTGATCGTGCTGAAATGCAGATCCGACCTTGTCGTTCTCCTTCCCCTCCTTCCCAAAGTACATTGTATAAATGTCATGTAAGGTATATAACGAAGGACATCAGACCCCTAGCTTCATCTCCTCGAAAAAATGATAGATCAACCACTTTTAAATATTTTTCCCGATTCTGTGGAAACTTCTCTCTGTGTTTCTAAATAACAAGCTTATACTATTATTTCTCTATTTTTCAGTTTTATATATTATGGATAGACCTACTATTATGGAAGATGATGATTTAGCTCTCTTACATCTGCCTCTGCTTGCCATTCACACTTCCCCTGCTCACATCCTCCTATCATAGACACATCAAAATCTTTTATCAGAATTTGAATTTATATTATGATGACCAAAGGAGCATTGTTCACAACTGGGCCATGTAATACATCATGATTATATTTCCCTTCTTGTATAGCTTTCTGTTTTCCCAGGAGCGTTTTTAATGGTCTCATCTTTGTTTTTCTTTTGAGGTAAAATTGGTGTATAAGTCTCATGTGTACAACATTATAATTTGATATTTGTATGCTCTACAAAGTGATTACTACCATAAGTCTAGTTACCATCCTTCAGCACACAATTGACCCCCTTCACTCATTTCACCTGCCCTCCACCAATCTGTTCTTTGTGTCTATGAGTTTGTTTTTGTTATGTTTGTTTCATTTTTTAGATTCTGTCTGACTTATTTTGCTTAGCTAAATACCCTCAAGATATGGCAAGATTTCATTCTTTTTTATGGCTGAGTAGTATTCCATTGTATATATATATATATACTACATCTTCTTTATCCATTCATCCTTCAGTGGGCCCTTGGGTTGTATGAATGTCTTGGGTATTTTAAATAATGCTGCAATGAACATAGAGGTGCATATCTTTTCAAATTAGTGTTTTCATATTCTTCATATAAATACCCAGGAGTGGAATAGCTAGATCATATGGTGGTTGTATTTTTTTATTTTTTTGAGGAATCTCCATAGTGTTTTTCCCAGTGGTCACACCAATTTACCTTCTCACCAACAGTATATGAGAGTTCTGTTTTTCTCCAACATCCTCATCAACACTTATTTTTTATCTTTTGATAATAGCTGTTCTGAAGAGTGTGAAGTGATATCATGTTGTGGTTTTGATTTGCATTTCCCTAATGATCAGTAGTGTTCATCCATCTTTTCAAGTGCCTGTTGGCCATCTTAAGTCCCCTTTGGAAAAAGTTCTATTCAGAACCTCTGCCCATTTTCTAATTGGGTTTTTGTTTTTTGTTGTTGAGTTGTATGAATTCTTTATAAATTTTGGATATTAACCCATTATCAGATATATGATTTGCAAATATCTTCTCCCATTCAGTAGGTTGACTTTTCATTTTGTTGATGGTTTCCTTCACTGTGGAGAAGCTTTTTAGTTTGATGTAGTCCTATTTGTTTATTTTTGCTTTTGTTTCCCTTGTCTTTGGAGTCAGATCCAAAAAAATATTGCTAAAACTAATATCTGGGAGCTTACCACCTGTGTTTTCTTCTAAGAATTTTATAGTTTCAGGACTTACATTCAATTCTTGAATCCATTTTGAGTTAATTTTTGTGTATGGTATAAGGTAGGGCTCTACTTTCATTCTTTTGCATGTGGCTGCCTATTTTTCCCAGCACCATTTATTGAAGAGACTCTCCTTTCTCCATTGTATATTTTTGGCTCCTTTGCCGTAAATTAATTGTCCACATACATATGGGTTTATTTATGGCCTCTCTATTTTGTTTCATTGTTCTGTGTGTTTGGTTTCTTTTGGCAAGGACGATTGGACCTGAGCTAACATCTGTTGCCAGTCTTGCTCTTTTTTCTTTGTATGTGGGATGCTGCCACAGCATGGCTTGATGAGCGGTGTTTAGGTCCATGCCCCAGATCCGAACCCATGAACGCCGGGCCACAGAAGTGGAGTGCATGAACCTAACCACTATGCCACCGGGCCAGCCCCTCTGTGTGTTTGTTTTTATGACAGTAGCATACTGTTTCCATTACTATAGATTTTTAGGATAGTTTGAAATCAGGGATCTTGATACCTCCAGCTTTGTTCTTCTTTTTCAAGATTGCTTTGGCTATGTGGGATCTTTTGTGGTTCCACACAAATTTTGGAATTATTTTTTCTAGTTCTGTGAAAAACTCCATTGGAATTTTGGTAGAGATTGCACTGAATCTGTGGATTGCTTTGATAGTATGGACATTTTAACAATATTAATTCTTCCAATCTATGGACTTGGAATAGCTTTCCATTTATTTGTGTCTTCTTCCATTTCCTTCATCAGTGTCTTATAGGTTTCAGAGTACAAGTCTTTCACCTCCTGTGTTAAATCTATTCCTAGGTATTATACTCTTTTTGATGCAATTGTAAATGGAATTGTTTTCTTAATTTATTTTTCTGATGGTTTGTAAGTGTATAGAAAGGGGACAGATTTTTGTATATTGATTTTGTATACTCCAACTTTACTGAATTCATTTATTAGTTCTAACAGTTTTTTCTGTGAAGTCTTTAGGGTTTTCTATATGTAGTATCATGTCATCTGCAAATCGTGACAGTTTTACTTCTTCCTTTTTGATTTGGATGCCTCTTGTTTATTTTTCTTGCCTAATTGCTATGGCTAGGACTTCCAATGCTATGTTGAATAAAAGTGGCAAGAGGGGGCATCCTTGTCCTGTTCCTGATCTTAGAGGAATAGCTTTCAGCTTTTCACTGTTGAGTATAATGTTAGGTGTGGGTTTGTCATATATGGCCTTTATTATGTTGAGGTATGTTCCTTCTATACCCACACTGTTGAGAGTTTTCATCATAAATGGATGTGGTTTTTTCAAATGCTTTTTCTTCATCTATTGTGATGATCATATTGTTTTTACCCTTCATTTTGTTAATGTGGTGTATCACATTGATTGTTTTGTGGATGTTCAACCAAGCTTGCATCACTGGAGTAAATCCCTCTTGATCATGGTGTATGATCCTTTTAATGTATCGTTGAATTCTGTTTGCTAATATCTTGTTGAGGATTTTTGCATCTATGTTCATCAGGAATGTTGGCCTGTAATTTTCTTTCTTGTGGTATCCTTGTCTGGTTTTGGTATCAGGGTAATGCTGGCTTCCTAAAATGAGTTTGGAAGTGTTTTCTCTTCTTCAATTTTTGCAAGACTCCGAGAAAGGACAGGCATTAATTTTTCTTTGAATGTTTGGTAGAATTCACCAGTGAAGAGGTCTGGTCCTGGTCTTTCGTGTCTTGGGAGGGTTTTTAAATTGCTAATTCAATCACCTTACTAGTAGTTGGTCTATTAAGATTTTTCTATTTCTTCATGATTCAGTCTCAGAAGATTGTATATTTCCAGGAATTTGTCCATTTCTTCTAGGTTATCCAATTGTTGGCATATAGTGATATGATGCTATGATACTGTTCATAGTAGCGACTTATGATCTTTTGTATTTCTATGGTATCAGGTGGAACTTCTCCTCTTTTGTTTCTGATTTTTTTTTTATTTGAGCCCTCTTTCTTTTTGTCTTGGTGAGTCTAGGCAAAATCTTGTCAATTTTGTTTATCTTTTTGAAGAACCAGCTCTTAGGTTCATTGATCTTTTCTTTTGTTTTGTAGTCTCTATTTCATTTATTTCCACTCTGATCTTTATTATTTCCTTCCTTTCACCGACTTCAGGTTTTGTTTTTCTTGTACTAGTTCCTTTAGTTGCATGGTCTCATTCTTTTCATTTGCTTAGTGTTCTGGGAATATATGATATATTCATCCCCAGACTTTCTGCCAGATTGGTATAACTCCTCCCAGTATGTATGAAACTGCTAAATATTGTAGTGGACTTCAGTTTAGGGTACATGTATATCTAGGAGGGTACAAAGACTTCTCAGGAGGCTACACAGATGTGGAATTTTTTAAAAAAATCTTTTTAATATCATAATTTATAAATACATAAAAATAGAAAGTACTCATTGTGGATAATCATTAACAAATGGCCAATCTTGTTTCATCTGGACTTCTCCTACCATCCACTGGGTTATTTAAAGCAAATACCAGACACTCTATCATTTCATTCACAACTACCTCCACATGTATATCTAAGAGTTAAGCCTTTTTTAAAAACGTAATCAAAATGCCATTATCACAATTAAAATTTAATAATAATTAATAATAATTCCTTATTATTAAATACCACTGTAATTGGTCTGGAGGACCTAGTTGATTAGAACAAGGTTCATAATTTTGGCAAGAATACTTCATATGTGGTGCTGACAACTTTTTATTGCATTACATTAGGAGACATGTGGTGTCTAGGTGTCTCTCTTTTTATGGTGTTCAGATTGATTAGTAGCTTTGGGTGCAGTCAGCTTGATCCATGTGTTATAAAGTCCCCCACCAGCCTTTAGCCCAATGTCTTTAACAAGTGTAGATAATTATTGTCTAGATCCATCATTTCGTTAGGGGTTTCACACTGGTGATAGCTTAATGCTACCATTCCTTCTGTCTTCATTAGTTGGAATTATTCTTTCCCCCATCAACCATTTTTGGTTACTCTGACATACAGTTCATAGGGGAAAGGCAGGAAAATTCCTCTGCTTACCATCTTTTGGATTTCAGAACAATGAGTTGGTGCCTTAGCACCTCGCAAGGTGACCAATGAGGTTTCATCTATTTTCATATCATTATGAAATCATGGATTTTAACATATTTGATGGATGTCAATCTATTATAATATTTATCCATTT